AGGAACTAGATTATCATTCTATTTGTTGGACAAGCAAACACCACCATTTTATAGATTCACTCACTTAGTTTCAACAACAATTCCTACTATAAAAGTAGATGATTTTTGTGAAAACAAGAAGAGAATCATTGACTTTGTTGAAGCTTTACACAGAGTCAATTCTTTACTAGTTCAAAATTATAAAAAATGCAGAGAAGCCCAAATTGCCCAAACTAGTTTGGGCTTTGAAAAAACAGTTTGGACTGGAAACTTTAGTCTCAACTGGGAATGATTTTAATGCATATAAACTGTAAGTATTGTAAATTTCTGAATTGTTTTATCTTAATATTAAACCTTAGCACTGACCTTGTTTTTTTATAGGAACTAGATTATCATTCTATTTGTTGGACAAGCAAACACCACCATTTTATAGATTCACTCACTTAGTTTCAACAACAATTCCTACTATAAAAGTAGATGATTTTTGTGAAAACAAGAAGAGAATCATTGACTTTGTTGAAGCTTTGCACAGAGTCAATTCTTTAGTAGTTCAAAATTATAAATTACTTGATGATATTAATAATATCATTATAAGTACCAATGATCTTTATTTTATATGAAAGATTTTTTTATTAAGTTTTTATTATTTTCAACCATTTTTCATTACTACATGTTGCTATAAAAATAAAAGATAACATAACCTATTCACATGCTTTGTTATATTGTAATGTAGATGTTCTTCATTAGTCATGATTTTTCTTTCCTCTTGATAAATTTCATAAGTAATCCTTTCTTTTCTTAGATAAGCTTCAAGTGTCTGAGTATCATTTATTTTGAAAGTGTAAGGAGCAATTTTTTTACCTTGTTCCTTTTTTAGAATACTTCTAATGGTGCTGTAATTCTTGGGTTCCATAGTAGATCTGATGTAAATTAGCTTCATATTAACTATTTTTGTCTAGATAAATATCATGATCACATTATATTGGTAACACAATTGTGATGTTAAACAAACACTATTGATCTCTGGAATTCTTGGTAACATCAATGTTCACTTTGTCTGGTTTTGTTGCAGTATGTCCTAAGGTTTCTGGTCGAAACTGCTTCTATTAGTAGCCGAAATTGCCCAAATACTTTGGGCAAAATTTATTTTTTTAT